CACAACTAGCAGATGAGCCTGGTGTTACTTGAACAAAAGGTAACAATAGCAAAGATTAAGATTATTAGATTATAGCCAATCTTACCCATTTTCACTGAGTGCAAAAATTAGGTCTCCCCTCTTTTGAGACTAAGTAGAAAATTTTAGATATCTGCTTACCACACCGATATAACAATAAATAAGACTCACTGCAACCACTAATCAGTGCATAATACCTCTAAGTGATAAATAATAAACATTTTCATAACTCTTTCTGAGTTCTTCTTCAGGTTTTACTAAATTTGAAAAACAAGCAGGATCTTCCAGAATTATTCATGAATATAAATTTGAACATAAAATTGAACATTAAGATAAAGAGTTCAAATAATGCCAACTTATGCGCATGTGCTCCCCATGCCAACTTTTTATACAATGGAACACTAAATATTGTTGAGAATTTTTAGAAGGGTCTAAAAATATGTTTGATATCCAGCATAAATGCCAAAAAGACATCTAAAATAATACAGTAGAAGCCGAGTTCTTCAGGGTAATCCTTAACCCTCTCCCCCATAGTGGGAATTTCAAAAAATCCCTTCTTAATATACATTCTCATGGCATACCTCATTAAAACACAATCAAAAATGCAAAAAGCTGCATCTAAAATAGTATGAAATGAAAGTAGTCAAGTGTTTTCTTGTGAGATTATTCTTGAAAATAAGGAAAAAAAAAAAAAATTTTTTGATGATTTTAGATGTAATGGTGTTTACTATGGAGCATCAGAATGAAAAGCAAAATACAAGATTTATGGCAATCCTACTATAGAAATCACTGCTGATTACAAATTCAAAAAAAAAATTTATTATTTTTCTTAAACACATGTGCTTTTCTCTACATATTTTCAGAATTTTCATAATATTTATGTACATATTTTATGGCTTTTTGTAACATATAAATCCAGGCCTTATAATTAAGGGCCAGATTTATGTGCATTTAAATTTGCAATATATACATACATACATACAGGTGTTAAAATGCCTAAAATATGCAGTAAACATGGTAAAAGTATCAGCAATTTACGATAAAATTTGTAGGTTGAAATGCATATGTACAGTACTTCTGTCTGTGAGCAAATCTTACTAACATCTATTACATCACACATTTTAGGCAGGAGGTAATAAACATGCAACACAAGGTGACATACAAAATTTGAAAATTATAACATCACAAAATACACATTAGAATAATGTTTCATTTAGGATATGGCAATTAAGCCAATTAAGAATAAAATTACATACTTAATAAAATTTTATAACTTTCTTTGCATCTAATCAATCATTATTGAATTTATTTCTATACATATAATTGCTTACAAGATGTTTGAGGATTACTGCTGGACTAATCTAGTTTCTCTCAAACTGTAATTATGTCACTTCTCTAGTCATATATTTTTTGTTTATAGTCTTGTACAAATGAAGAGAAATGAGTAAATGCTCTTATTAAGTTATTAACTAATTATAAATTTAGTGTCAAACTTTACAGTAATATTTCATTCCCAACTGATATCATGAACTCTACTGAAGTTAGTTTCAGTGCAACTAGAACTTACCTTTTATCAATTGCTGTTTTGGCTCATTTTGATCCTTCATGTTGCACTGATGTAAGAACATTTCAATATGCTGAGACACTTGTAACATATTGTAATATATCCCACAAATTATCCCATATATCCCACAAATTGTTTTTTACAAAAAAACAATTTGTGGGATATATTACAATAAAGAATTTTTCCATCTGTTTTAAATCTTGAGGATCCAAACTCCTGTACATATTTTCTTAGAAATTCAGCATTAGTTTTCTGCTGTTTTATCAATATTGTTGATTAATATAATGGAATCTTTTCTCTACATGCTCCATATGTGGAGTTTGATTATTTTTCTCACAAGAAATTCCCCCCCTTATACTTACTTGAATATTATATTTACAGAATTTTTTGAAAGATTTATATTTAACATTATTAAATTCATAAATATAACATTTAGAATAAATAATTTTAATCCAATTAATTAAGAGGATTCTTAAGAGTTTGAAAAATGAGGAATTTCCATGATAATGTAAAACATGTTCATTTGTGGAACTTTAAAAGATGAAGTTAATGCAAGCTAGATAGTTTAAATTTAAAACATTTGAATTTTGCATGTTCATCTGTAATTGAATGGTGAAGTGATATTTCTCTTGTAAACGATATTGTGCAAAAAAGATTCACTGCACAGACAGCAAAAACAAAATAGATCATTTGAAAAAAAATAGTACTTGCAATCATGCAAACAAGCAATAAAGTCTATAAAACACTTATTTATTCCCAAAAGTGTTCAAATCTGTAAAATTTGCAGTAAAATCATAAATGCATATTTTGTTTTCATTTTTAAAATGCATATAAAATATGCATTATTGGACACCTTAATTTAATTCACTTGGACCTAAACTGTGTTTATATTGAGGTTTTAATATCATAACATTTAAGGAAAACAACATGCATGTGCACACAAATCCAGCTCTTACTTATAATCATATCATAAATAATCATAAAAAATATATAAAATTAGTGGCTATGATTTGACATAATGTAACATTTGAATACTTTTTATTTTTAAAATACTGTAATTCTGTTCTTCTAAAGAAATTTTGTACACAATTAAAATGAAAGCATTCAGAATACTTTTGATATAAATTTTATACACTTAATATCCCTAAATACCAAGAAATTCAATTTTAATTTTGCCACTGTTATAGACAGAAGACATTGAAAGATATTACAACATACTTAATTTTCAAACATACAATACAAACTTAGGGATAGAGAACAGCAAAAATGAAGTAAACAGTAAATAAAGAATAAATTATTCTGACAGGAACTAAATTAATTTTTGTACTTATTATAATTAGCTTATAAAAAACAAGTTAACTTATACAGATAAATGAAGAAGAATCAAACACTTTTAAAAAATCAAATTGATTAAAATTTCACAAAGACAGATCATAGAAACAATGAACAGTAAAATATAAAAATGCCAAATAAGTTATAAAAATGAGTACATCAATGAAACAAATTGTATATAAAATTAACACATTTTTTATTTTAAGATATTTACAGATGTTACAAATTTCATGGAAAAATGATAGTAGTGAATATGATATATAAAATCATCATACACCATTTCAACAGTATGAATTTCTGATGAACAAACTAATCATGTGTTGAATGAATTAATATGAACAGAAGAAAACTTTTTTGTTAATGATTAATAAGTAATATTTGTTACAATATGTATTAAAGAGTTAATAGTAAGAATGAGAAAAAAATGTATATTTGGTAACAGATAAAATTAAAATAATAATATATACAAATATATTTTTAAAAAAATGTCAAAAATTTGTGTCATTTAATCATTCTTTCTCATAAAAAACAAAGTATTTTAAATTAATTCAGTATTCAACTACACATTACTATTTTTTGTTTGATATATTATACTTTTCGGATAATGAAATCAAAAATCATTTCAAAGTTATTTTCTAACTAAGTAGTTCATTATTATTCATATAATAATGATACAGTAGAGCCTTGAAAACTCAGCCTAATGTAAACCGAAGGGTGGCCGAGTTTGTGAAAATGCCGGGTTATCGGGAATGGGGTTAAAAAAGGATAAGTATGCATGTTTCCTCAGAAAATATTGTACTGTACTTATATGTATTGTTTGCTTGAGAATACAACAGAGAATAAACTGCCCAAATACCCATAAACAAAGGAAAAAGTACATACTTTATGAAGGCATAGAGCCTTTACTACATGAAAATGAAAATTAATAAATACACTGTGTACAGTAATTTACTTGATAAGACAGACCTCAGAAAAATACTTTATGAGGCATAAAGCTGACTATGATGAAAATTAATTATATAAGGTTATTTTTGCCCTGCGAGGGTGTTGCCGAGTTATCCAAAGTGCCGAGTCATCGAGTGCCGAATTTTCGAGGCTCTACTGTATATACATTTACGAGAAGTGGATTATTCATTCAACTGAGTTTTGATTAAATAGCTATTATTTGGCTACTTTTTTTATGGCTAATTCAAACTAGCAGTAGTATAATATTACCTAAGCAGTTATATATACATTTGAACTTCTGAAGAATGGACACTGATGGAAACAAAAAATGGCCATTGTTTGAAGATTATTCTGTATGTTTAAAAATATGGTAGCTGTTTAGAGGTAGCTGTTATTGTAGGTTCAAATGTATTAGATATATTCTTATTAGTTTTATTCAAATATAGCAATGTTACAAATTATCAAATAATTTTATAACATTATATATTATGTATATGTACTCTGAAAATTCATTCTGAATAAAGTGAAAATGTTTGTAAAGCCAAATAAAAATATCATCTAGTAAAATACTTTGTGGAGACTTGTTCTGTTGCAAACTGGATGCATATGCCTCTAAAATATTTCTCATGGCTACTCTTTTTATTAGCAGGAGTTGTACATATGATTTTAAAATGTATGACTCATTATTGAATGGAATTTCATATATTTGATTGATTGTAATGGTTATTTTATGTTCCTGAAAATGAAAAAGAAAATCCAAAAATGTTTAATCCATATGAAGTATTTATTTGAACTTTGTAACTTATTGGCTTGTTTGCAAGTTAGATGCAATAGTTTTTTTTATTATCATTATCAATAATATATATATATATATATTTCTTAAATATACATTAGTGTTATATTCTATAAGAGGTAGAAATATACAAACTACAAACTAATACCTAAGTTACAAACTTTTCAGATAGGAAGACTGAGCCCACTAACCAGTATACCTTAATATTCTGTTTTAATAGTAACAGTTTTGTCATTGGAAAAAAGTGTAATTGTTATTTCCAAGATATCAAGAATATGCCTATATTTGTTTATTAAAAGTTTCATATTTTAAACATATTAAATTTTCATTACCAAAATTTTAACTTACATATTCTCTGGTGACCAATGTAAAAGGACTTTCACTTTCCCACCTCCTTCCATTCTTCTTGCTATAACCTAAAAATACTTTCAGAATTAATATATAAATAATTTTATTTATTTATAAAAGCTTTATGTGAAGAAACTAGTGTCTGTTTTACTATTATGCTATGATATATTTTAAATTAAGGGAGGCTTAATCTACTTTCCCTAATTGAAAATATTTGAAAAACTTCTAAAAATCTCCAGGATATCATTAGGCATAATATGCAATTTAATCTATAGATTATAGAAGTAAATAATTCATTTAACACATCTTAATATTATAATTCATAAGTACTTTCAAATGAGTCCTCTGAAGATGGACAGGTATAATACAGAACTGGGAATATAACTAAATGACTTAAAACTATTTGATTTCAATATACTGCATGTTCTAATATAATTTAAATTTGAACATGTTATTCAAAAAGCCATTCATTTGAACATCTTTAACCTGATGATGGCCCATGGAATGGGTTGAAAATGTTTGTTTAGCTGAATAAATGTGCTTTCTCAGTATTAAGGTGTGTTGACTTTATAAAGTTAAGGAATCTGAGTGTGAATAGGAAAATATTAATTAATAATAATCAAAAATAGTAAAATAATTATTGCAACTACTACAGGGTGATTAGAATTAAACTAATGGTACTAAGACACACATGGAGTCATCTCTACTGAACCAAATCAAATAAAACTCAATACACATGCAATGCAAAACTAGAAAGAAATGTGAAAGAAATTTATGGTGGGGAGAGAAATTAGTTGAAGTACCACCAGGAGAAAATGTGGAGATGCAAGGATGACAATTATATGGCATGGACCCTACATTGAGATTATATGAGATGGACTCTACATTGAGCACAAAAAATTTTATTTTCTGTACTCAATGTAGGGTCCTCCTCTGTCAACCACATGTTGCAATTGTAAAACAGCACCATCAACACTTATATATCATTTCAGGAAGAATCTGGAAGACATGTTGCACTATACAGGCCTTCAGCTCTGAAATGAAGTGCACACATTCCTGATAAACATGATCTCTCAAATAATCCCATAGCCAGAAACATACATTTTCAACAGGGCAGCACCTCATTTTCTCCTGGTAGTAAAACGTTCAACTAATTTTTTTTCCCTCATAAATCTCTTCCCCTCATAATCTGCATTCCATGTGTACTAAGTTTCATTTGATTTGGTTCAGTAGCATCAGCTCGTTATGTGTATCCCCATAATTCTAATCATCCTATATATTGCTATACACTAATTACTGTTATTATATGGTATGATCAAATAAGAATATACAACCAAAACACCAAAAATCAAGCACATAAATGGTACTTTAATGCTAAAACAAATATTTTCTACTATTTCAAATGGTCATCATCAGGTTAGGTTAGTTCTATAATATAATGATCAAATAATTTTAAGATACAAAGCTCAAAATATGAGTCATGAAATAAACAGACAATTTAATGGAAAAAAAATCAATTTAATAAAGATAAAAGTAAAAAGGAAAAAAGTAAATCCATAATATTAAAAAAGTTTAATTTTAGTTTTATATAAAAAATTATTTTATGAATTTAATTTGCAAAGTAAAGCTTAAACAAACACCTGCAATAATAATTTTATATTTTCACATATTCTGTTTTTTTATTTTTTAATTATTTTTCCTTTCTAAAATTTTAATAAGATTGCATATTAGAAAACCTTCCTAATACATAAAGCTTCCACAATAAATAATTGCTTGTACTACTTATAAAATTTTTTGAAGATATAAAGCAAGGACAATTTGCATTTTATCATAATAAGTAATTGTCCATATAGGAGCACATAACATAATACAGATCATTGAGTGAAATAATTTTATATAAATGGATGTAAAATTATTTTTATTCTTGAAAGAACAGGCCACATAGAACTCAGTGCCATTTTAGCCTTACATATAAGGTAATTTTTAGCCTGTAAAAGTCATCCAAAAGATGCAAAATAAAAACTCCAAAGTATACATAATTGTTTTGACTTAATTGAATTTGAATATTTTTGAATCATTCTTTATTATCCCTGCTCTAAATGAGTACTCTATTTTTCTGAATGAGTGAGACTAATTGATCAGAGTATACATTTTTCTTTTCTGAACAAGGGGCTGAAAGTACAAGGCATGTCCAGAAAGTAAGTACCGTTTTGGAAAAACCCGCATAAAAATATTTTTTCAAAACAAAATTTATTTTTACATGAAAGAGCATGTTTGAAACTATTTTTCTACATAGTTACCACCATTGTTCAGACATTTGTCATATCGGGAAACCAATTTGTCTATACCAGTGTTTCTCAACGGGGGCGATATCGCCCCCATGTGGGCGTTTTTCCATGTTAAGGGGGCGATTAGTAACAATTTATATTTTGGGGCGAAAAACAATTTTCTGGGTGATATAGTAAAACATAATATTAAGAATAATTAGATATTTTATTCGTTATATCGTACAATAATTAAACAAATAACATTATACTAGTCACTAATTTATTCAATGCAGTTCGAATTTGGCATTAGCTTTGGCCCTCGGCATCGGAATTTTGAAGTGAAGGGGGCGATACTACATAATGGTTTTATTGAAGGGGGCGACGATTCGTTAGAGGTTGAGAACCACTGGTCTATACCCTCTTCAAAGAAAGATGCCGCCAGTGAAGACAGCCACTGCTGAACATTTGTTTTTGCAACAATCTCATGCAAAACAGTATTTGAAATTTGTGGAAACTCATCACAAAGCAATCTTATTGTGAACCGTCTGTTTTCAGGAAGTTTTTCATTCACTTTTGCAACCAAACCATCACTGACAACAAAAGGCCAGCCATTCCATGCTTCGTCATGAACATCAGTGTGTTCAGCATTGAATTGTCGAACCCACTTTCTAACCATTCCATCACTCATTACATTTTCACCATAAATCTCTACAAGTTGATGATGAATTTCAACTGGCTTAACATTCTTTGCATTCAAAAATCATATTACAGAATACACTTCATAGTTGGCGGGATCGGCAATAGTCTTAAACATTTTGAATGCTTACTAACACGTGGAAAAACAACACAATCCGGCTGTAATGGCATCACTGGACTGACAATCAACTAGAGAGACATGTGCGCAGGCACTGAACTATGATACTACCACTGCAATGGCGGTAGAACTAAACAGTACTTACTTTCCAGACAAGCCTTGTAGCTAGATCGCACACTTTTTAGTTGGAATAACTTTTCTGGAAAGGTGAAATTGAAGTGCAAATGTTGCAGAATAAAGATATTTAATGTTGAATTTTATCGCCCCCCTTTCTCTTCTTATTAAATATTTGTTAAGAAATTTATTTTATTTGTATAAAATTAATGTAAGTTAAATATTAAAAATACTAACTATAAAAGTATTTGGGTAAATGCCCAGGGCTCCTTTCAGAGTTCAGAGTAGGGTATCCCCCTATGAGAGCCTCTGCCTCCCATAAAATGACTTGGTTTTAATTTTGCTGGAGTTGGAGTTAGCCTATTAAAATTATCAGAGGAGTCAGAGTCGAGTGTTTTTTTACCAACTCCGCAGTCCTGTCTTGCACATTAAATTTTTTTGGTATTTTATAATTAATTATTTTGTTATTTCTATTTAAGATTAATAATTATTTTTGAGTTATAAAAAGTATCTTTAAGAAGCCAAAAATGAAAGTTATTTGTATATTTATATTAATAATTATCATATGAATTTTATATTACAGATTTGCAGTTTATGGTAAAAAAAAAGTTTATGATTATAAATTTAAATTATACTATTTATTTATGATCATGAAAATCAGTTATTCAGTTCAAAATATGCCAGAACAATAATCAGAATGTACACTCATGAACGAGCAATTATTTATTGTGACATTGTTACAATGCCAGGCTGCAATTTTGATCATATTTTTAATTTATTTAATTTAAAACAAATGCTCTCCACCTCAAATTAGTAGTAATTTGCCCCTATACATCATACTTTTCCTTTAACAATAGAGTTGTGCTGGTCATATATTTAAAACCTTTCGGGGGGAAATTTTTGAATTAAAATAACATGACTTTCGGTTTGAATCAGAAGTTCTTATATAGTGAATTGGGCCTCCTGCACTTAAAGTTTCCATATCTGGTCTCATCTTTTGTCTATTTAACCTTTTTCTCAAGATTAAGGAAAGACAAATGGACAGACAACCAACAGTGGGTATTTATAGGTCTACAATTTTTTCAAATTGCAGCCCAATTATACAGGGTGCCCCATATATGTTTATGTGATGTTACCACAGAAACACTGAAGAGTGAGAATCCTCATTCAGAGTATATATTAAAAAAAATGACTCAAGAATCATACCTCTTACAACCCATAGTTTGAGAAAAATGCAAAAGGAAAGTATGATGTCATATCCAGTACACAAAAAAGTAAGCTTTAGTGGAAACACGAACTTTGGTATTTGCATATGACATTATGCTTAGATAGCAAGACACTCAAAAATTACTCTTGCACATATCAAGGCATGTACGCACACATTCATAGAATGGTTGATTGCACATGATCTTGATTGCTCATCTCCATGCTGTTTTCACTTTTCTGGACAACACAATACTGGATTGTGTGCAGTCAGTCATTCTACAGCATGCACATGCATGCCTTGATATGCATGGTGGCCATTTTGAATATCCTCCTATATAAGCATAATGTCATTTGCAAGTACTGATGTTTGTGTTTGCAATAAAGCTTATTTTCTGTGCACTGGATGTGACATCATATATTTACTTTTGCATTTTTCTCAAAAACTATGGGTTGTAAAGGTATGATTCTTGCGTCATTTTGTATATATTCCAAGTGAGGATTTTTGCTCTGCAGAGTTTATGTGGTCTTGATGGGACATCCTGTATTTAATATGTAGTGTACTCTTGCTAATCCAAACTAATTATTATACACGGGGATTGGATTCAACTGTTTGACTTAGTGGGTTGGATATAAGAAAAAATAAGTCAAAAATGACTACAGACTTTTTAAAAATTAATCCATTATTTATTTGTTTTATTGTCTGGCACATTTAGCAGAAAAATGAATAAAATTGGTTTACATTAATTAACAAGAGTGCATTGTGTATGTATATGAGCTGCTTGGAGAAACATAATAGTAAGTGCCATCTATTGCTATTTTCATCATCCTGATGTAATCTTTTGATTTTTGTTTCAACAATGTCATTACGAAACTAGACTGATTACAAAGTATGTACTTTCAGTAAAAGATAGCTTTTAAAATAAATTTATTCAGATTTATGGTTCAATTACAATTTTATTTTTGCTGTATTCTAAAATTTCCATTTTGGCATTTACCATTTTTGTTTCCACAAGCAACTCATATATATTTTAAATAAAAATTTTTTAAAATCAACTCTTTATGCTTGCAGATGCATGTACTATACATATATTTATTTACACAGATTGTATTGTATAATTTAGCATGTTACATTCTAAATTCTAATATAAATACACTTTAAAAACCTTTAACATGCAGTCTATTTTATTAAAGTAATCTAATGTCTTTGGTCAATTAATTGATCTTCATCAGGATCAAACAATTTTTCGATTTATGACAAACAAAGTACTTTAATAAATTAGACTGCATGTTAAAGGTTTGCAAAGTGTATTTATTTTTTGTAAGTGTAGTTTGAGAAGAGTGTAAATTATTATAGTTTTAATTAATCTTTTTTCACAATCAATCTTGCTTGGAAGCAAATAACTTTTTCCATCAACTTTTCAATTCTTTTGCAGTAAACTTTGAACAAATTACTCTTCAAACTGAATAGAATTTGATATATATGTATATACACACCCACTAGATATTTGGATTTTGAACAAATAATGAGAAACTGCCATTTTCATTATTACAAAGAGTAAGAGAACAATAATATACTCAAAAATAGTCATTTTTACAGTGATAATAAGAAAAAGAAGATATAATAAATACAATAATAATTTTAAATTATTAATTTATTTCAATTTGAAAAATAACTAAATATATAATTAAAATTTCCTGGAAAGTCATATAAAATATTCAACTAAAACTGTTTTAAATAGAGCATGTAGGCTTTATAAAATCTAACCAATAAGAATAAAAATAAGTTTAAAACAGCATTCCAAATAAAAACTAATTTGACCTCTGTAAAACTGTATATACATAAAAATGAGAATATATAACTGGATTTAATATCTAACAAGACAACTTCTGTTTAACTAATTTAAAATTTTGTTATTTTTAAAGTTAAAAATAAAAAACTTTCATCCCAAAATTTCAACCAATCTTAAATTGTTCAAAAGACAGCATTAAAACCTCAAAGCAAGCTCTCTACAGTTAAGTATGAATGATTTAAGTCATTACATAAAAACTATGTTATTTTTATTCCTCTAGTTATGTTTTTCATCCATACAAAAAATTTATAAATTAAATATGAATGATTTAAGTCATTACATAAAAACTATGTTATTTTTATTCCTCTAGTTATGTTTTTCATCCGATAAAAAAATTTATAAATTAAATATGCGTGGACAGATTGAAATTAAAAAAAGTTATTTCTTTTCCCAAGATTACTAAAACTGAAGTTCATAATTAAGAATTAAATTATAGTGGTGGAAAATAATATAAAAGTATTTTTACTATTTGTACTGTACAATTTCAAAATATTTCGTGTAATAATTCGACTCTGACTTAACGGCTATTTTGAAATCATTGATTTCCTTATCTGTCCGATATTTTTGTTTGACAGAGTTGAATTGTTTGGACCACGCGGCGCGAAAAATTTTGTCCAGGTCTTCGTGAGAATGTGACGCGTGTGAAAGAGGATTGAGTCGTAACATTTGCACGTTGTTGATGTCGACCGATATACACCGTGTGTATGTTGTGATTAGGAAAGATAAAGAAGAATATTTTAATAATAAATGCAAAGAAATTGAATTAAATAATGCGAAAGGACGTGCAAGGGATCTCTTCAAAACAATTAAAGAGGTCGTTGGAAAATTTACCCCTAGGCTTGGTATTTTAAAGAACACACATGGAAAAGATCTAATGGAAGAAAGTGAAATAAAGAGAAGATGGAAAGAATATACAGAACAGCTTTATAAAGCAGATAATAATATAGAAGAAATAATTGNTACAACATGGAATTCATATAACACGGAATTATCAACAGTGTTATAGGGGGTCTACTGTATATTTATGATATAAAAGAATGGTCAGATAAAATTAATATAATTCATTTAAAAAAAAATGAAATTAAAATTAATGGAGAACAAATATTCAGCTATTTTTTAAATTAAATGGTGGTAAAAGTAGCTTACAGTGCTATAGAAAGTTATGGTCCCAGGTATTCCTTCAGTATCAAGTCCAGTTACGGAGTTCAATTCTAATAAACCATGTCGAACATGCTCCATAATTCTGGCATCAAAAAAATCTTCTGTTTTAACTGCATAAGCAAAGAGAGAATTTTAAAAATAAATACATAATTACTCATCACATAAATTAAAGAACTTATTTCAATAAATCAAATGCTAACTTCTTAAATCAGTTTCTGGAAAAATAATACAATAAATGCAATCAGAATGGGATTCAATCTCAACATGTTCCATTTTAAAAGATTCTTCCTGACAACAATCATTTTAAGATTATAAAATTTATTAAATTTTGTTTAGAACTACTAAAATCAACTAAAACTACTATTATAAATTATAAAGAAACAAATAAACTTAAAACACATGTACACACATGCATCTATATAATAAAGTGAGAAGTAAAAATTTAAATAATATACTATACTAAAGATGTTTTATGTTTTAACTTTAAGAAAAGTAATTTTGAATTCTCTCAAACTTTAACAAACAACTCTAAATGGCTAGAATTTACCTGTAATTTTAATATTCTAGATTAAGATATTGTGCAAAATATAAATAAAAGAAATTCATTTTTTCCCTAAATTTAATATAATTTTGATCATATTTTAATAATCCTGTATAAAGCAAAGCTTTCCAACCATGGATCGTGACTTCTGACTTCTAATGGTTCACAAGCCAAAATCCAAAATAGTATTACGATAGTTTCTACTAAAAAGAAAAAATGGAAATGTTGATATAAGAAACCAAAATTTACTGACTCATAGATTATAATATAATATTCAAAAATCTTGAACTATTAAAACAAATAGTAAATTAAGTAATTAACAAAACTATTCATTACAAACCATTTAACTTAATTCTTGTAAAATTATATTATTTATAATGAAATTTACATTAATTACAATTGTGTATTGTAATCATTATAACAATGTACTATAATAGTAGAGCAATTAATAATAGTTATAACAGTAATAATTAAATACTAGATGGAATAACCTATTTCAATTATTACTTGTGGCAAAACTGTTAACACAGTATTCATTTAAATATTAATATGCCATCCATTATTTTATATTAAACTCTGGCATAAACATTTTAATATATATTCACTATATATATTGCTATTGGCATTATTTCTTTAAACTAAATTGCATCTGTATTACTTTTTAATTAGTGAACTACAAAAACTATTGGTTTCACAGCAGCAATTAAATTTATACAAATATCTAATTTTAGATTTAATTTTTATATTTTAAAGCCCTCTAAATATATTAAATAAATTATAATTTAAATGCTTAATAGAAGTTTAAGCAATTTTTTTATTAACAAAAAATACAATGCAAATTATGTTGAATTTGCATTGTATTTTTTGAATTTTTTGAATATAATAAATTATATAGAATAATTTAAAAATTTTTAAAAATGCAATAATATTTATTTNAAAAAAAAAAAAAAAAAAAAACTAACTCCAAAACGGAAGTGGAGTGTAGGAGTACTGTACACGGAAGACAAAACGGGAATTAAATGAAATTCGGAAATATGTATCGAAAATTTAATTTTAACGAATATATAAAATATATTCATAACGTGAAATTATGCCTTAACTTCCTACTATTTGTTATTCGAAAATATTTTTAAAAATATCCTGCTGAATAAGTTAGGGGTTAAAGTTTTTGACAAGAGGGACATATTTAACAGTAGAACGACGATTTTCTCGCATGTTAAACACGTTTGCAAAACTCGAAATCCGTTTAACCTACGAACCGAATTTCTCGCGTCGAGTTTTTACGTTTTCTAAACACGTCAATGGACAAAGACCAAAAATTTTCCTTCCTTTGAATATGGAAGGAGCGCACCTGAAGTTCTCACGTGTGACGTGTTTTTGTCATGCAAGTCGACGTGGGATATACATACCGACCAGTGTCCCAGACAGGCAATGTCCTGGAGACAGACACCGGAAAACCCGGGTCAATGGTCTCCATCAATCGCTTCACTTCTCTAGCCCAGTTACTTAACACGGTATTTGTTCGATTGTATACGAAAACAACACAATTTTCTTCCGGTTTCTCTTTGTAATCTTTACAAAACTCTTCCGACGACGCGCAGGGAAGGGGGAAGAAGAAAAAGAATCCCAGATAACGTTTGAACTGTTGGCCAAGGGAAAACCACATGGAAAAATCATTAAAGACGAAGTTAATTAGCATTTTAAATAAACAAACAAAATTACCGTTTTACTAATTACTACACAGTAAGAATACTGAGCACACACACACATATATATATCATGGTTTTCGCTTCCCCTTCCGGTTATTTTGATATTTTTAGTTCCGGTTCTTTTTGGTACTTTCCAATTACTTACGAAACCGAATTCCGATATTTCGCACACATTCGACTCCTACGATAATTAAATGGTGTTAAAATTCTTTATCGATTATAACTAAACAACACTAAAGTACAGAATATTTAAAATTAAATGAATGATTACGTAATTATTACATATTCTTACGAAGGAATGTAATTCATTCAGGAATTGAAAAGTTGGATGAAAACATCTGGCGATATTTTTTACCAGATGTTTGCTTACTTTTTTAATTTCTTAAAAAATAAAATAACTTGTTCAAATATTTTAATGAACAAGTTTCCGTCTAAGCTTAACTAATTAGTATACAACATTAGCGGAAACGATTTTTGAATTTCAATGAATTATATAAAATTGTTTTAATAACCAGTCGAACAAATTTTATATTAATGTATATATTTCATTATTTATACATTAAAGTGTTGGTTATAGTTTAAGTTATATATATATATATATATATAAGATAAGGGACACCGTCAACTGGGCTACTGTTAAACTGGGCAATAAAATAAGAGGTAAACAATAGACAAAATAGGCTACAATTGTTTTGTTTTCTTTATAAAAATCACTAATAATATTTTTTAAGAAACGAGTTAAAAGAACGATTTTGTAATTAACAAACATATTACATACGTTTTTTACTTATTTATTTTTACAAGTAAATAGAAAAGTGTCGAAGGACAGTCAATATCTATCCCAAAATTAACATATATACTAAAAACAAAGACGACAATTACATAAAATTAAAAATACATTACATTATACATTAAATACAATATAAATTAAAACAAAAAAGTATAAAAGTTCCTCGAAAGAATTTCTTTTCGAAGAACCGCTTTTCTTTGATGTGCTTTATCAACCGACAAAATAATTAACAGTGCTACAATACATTGATCCAAAACATTCTTTTCTTAAGTTGAAATAACTCATACCTCATAACTGTATTTATATTTATATATATTTTGCCAATATTTATAAAAATAATAAATAAATAATATCCGCCAAATCGTATGATTGCTAAACATGAAAAAATTTTGAAGTTTTTTTCGCGCAGATGACGGGCGTCTAGTTAACCGTCTCCCACTTGACTATCGCCCCCAGTTGTCGTGTACCCCAAATTTCAAGAAATTATAAGCTTATACATATCAATAACTAGAAAATTTATATTGCAATGGTGTTATTTAAATAGTGCAGTAGAAAAATTTCTTAAAAAGTAAATAATAATATTTAAAATCTCATCTCTGAAATATCCACTATGATGAAAGTGCATATAATGCGAGAAATCAACTGATTAAATTTTTAAATATATAAATAATACTTTCAATCTTGCTCGAAATTAGAAAAAAGTTCGGGTTGTCCATAAATTACGTTCGCATTTTTCTTGAATTTTTACTCCCCCCTCTTGTCCCAGTTTCCGTAATTCCTTCTACGGACGTCCAACAAAACTCGACCCCCCTCGAAACCATTATCACTTTATGAATGATAGATACTATAAGTAGAAACGAAATATACAAGTATTTTTTAAATAAATACACTTTAATAAAATGCATAAACTGTATAAAATTTAATGTTTCATAATGTTTTGTAAAATTTAATGTAATGGTTAAGACAAGTCGGATAAGGGAAGGGAAAGACGTCCACTGAAGCTCAATCCCCCCTTTCTTTGTCCGACTTGTCCTAAAGAAAAAATATTTGTGAGACGAAGTAATCAGTTTACTAATCAGTTATATAAAAAACAAGAAAATCAGCATCTTACATTTTAAAATATTTCTAAATATTGTAATCTTAATTAATAGTAATTAATTCAATGGCATATTCTAATTTCTCACTCATAAAAATATCATTATTATAAATTCAAAAACTGAGCAAATTTGTAACACTATTTTTCCACATAATATAATTTTGTTAGAATATAAATGCCACCATGAAAACATCTTTACGTTACTTAAATGAAATTTTATTTAAGCAAATTGATTTTTATATATAGAAGCAGTTTCTCGTTACAAAATTAGTTTAAAATATATTATTGATTCAAATAAAAACTAATTTTAACTTATAGCATAATCATTTGTACACTTGTCATTGGCTTCTCCCTTGCATGTCTTGTTCATAATTCAAGTAACAATAACATACAATGTAAGTCGTTGTTGTATCACCAAACAGAATGGTTCAGAATAAAATACAAATGATTACTGAATAAAAGTTTATTTTAGCAGTCTTTTAGTTGCAAAAAAATATATTGTAAATAAATATTAAAATCATTTAAATACATACAATGAGAACTGTTTTTCATGTAAGTGTAGGAGGCATGGTTACAGTTACAAACATGTTTCATAATGCAACTTAAATCTAAACTGAAATTTAAATAAATATCTTAATGCTATAGAACAGTGTTTCTTAACAGGGGGCTGCTGCCCCCTGGGGATCTGTAAGAAGTTTGACAGGGGCCGCCAAATTATGCAAAATTTATGCATATTTGTGTGAAAAAAGGGTTCTCAATTATGGTGGATATAAAAACAAAAAAAGGCAATCAACTGCGATTAGATGTCTGCATGCAAATAGCATTACAAACAATTGAACCAAGAATTAACAAATTAGTTGAGGATATTCAGCAGCAGAAATCTCATTAAATTATTTTCGAATATTTTTTTGTTTCTTCTATGAATTTTTAAATGTTTATTTTATTTTTTGTTAAAAATTAATGAGTTTTTATGT